CCGGACAGCCATTGCAGTGCATGCTGCCAACGGAGATGTCATGAAAGGGCTTCAAACTTGGATAGATTGTATCGGACTTATATATTTAATATGCGTGCGTTCACTTGTATGTGTTTTACTGTTGGCTTGCTCGCACCAAAATGTAGATTACGTTTCATTGTGGCACAATTCTTGATAAGGTCATTTGACTCTGAATGCATTCATGTTTGTGATTTGTTTAGCATGAACTGAATGCGGCATGTAATCCTCGCCAGATTTTTCAGTGTGATAGCAGCACCATAGCGCATTCCACGAAAGAAATTGGCTGAATATTTGCCCCCATGTCAACAGTTGAATGCTTTGTATGCAACAGTCAGACCCGCCTTTTGAGAATGAACTGCTCTACTTTTCTATGCAGCCGTATCGTCATATGATCAGCTCACGTTGTAGTGATGTAAACACGATGCGTCTAGTGTGCTGCTGCTCGTCTGTTTAGCGTGTTGCTGTTCGTCCAGCTCTCAGCACGGCCGAAATACAGAATCCGAACGTCGAGGAGCAGCCTTCATCTTCAGAGTGGACAGCCGCCAGTCCTCACCAACAGCGTCAGCGCCGACAGCGGCCTCGGACCTCGGGTGTGGCAGCCGCCAGGGGCCCTTTCCGGCGGACCTCGGGTGTGGCAGCCGTCAGGACCCTCCTCCGGCGGACCTCGGGGTGTGGCCGCCGTCAGGACCCTCTCCGGCGCACCTCGGGCGTGGCAGCCGTCAGGGCCCTCTCCGGCGGACCTCGGGCGTGGCAGCCGTCAGGGCCCTCTCCGGCGGACCTCGGGTGTGGCAGCCGTCAGGCCCTCTCCGGCAGACCTCGGGGGTGGCGGCCGTCAGGGCCCTCTCCGGCAGACCTCGGGTGTGGCAGCCGTCAGGGCCCTCTCTGGCAGACCTCGGGTGTGGCAGCCGTCAGGACCCTCTCTGGCAGACCTCGGGGTGGCGGCCGTCAAGGGCCCTCTCCGGCGGACCCGGTGTGGCAGCCGTCAGGGCCCTCTCTGGTAGACCTCGGGTGTGGCAGCCGTCAGGGCCCTCCCCGGCTAACCTAGGGTGTGGCAGCCGCCAGGGCCCTATCCGGCGGACCTCGGGTGTGGCAGCCGTCAGGGCCCTCCCCGGCGGCTGAGGACGGCCCCCAGACGGCCTTCCGGTCGGCCGGGGCCCGCAGCCATCAAACGCCCAGCCGCCTTTTGATCCAGTGCCGGGCCGTGCCCCAGTCCGGCAATCCCCGCCCTCGCCCCGACGACAAAAACCCCGGCCTGATCGCCGTCGCCCGCTGGTGCATGAGTTCCGGGGACACCGCTTCGGTGCGTTTCTCCGGCGTGCGCCCTGGTTTCTTTGACCACCGCCCGGCTATTCGAGGCCAGCGTGTGGGTCGTTACGGCGCCCAGTTGTGCGTGCATGCACCGGTCGCTTTCCACTTGCCCGCCCCGTGAAATGACACGGACTTGGCGCAGGGAAGTTACAGATATCAGCAAGGACTTACAATGTAGTGGCAAAAATTCAAAATCAGTGGGTGGTGGTGGTAGGAGAGACGCTTCTCCAAGCCTTTATACCATTGTTGTATATATATATATATATATATATATATATATATATATATATATATATATACATTGGCGGCATGTTGTTGTCACTGAGGCTCTACGAAGCATTCAGCTGCTGAGGATGTACGGCGTCACCGGCCTCTCACCTTGGCAGGAAGGGCGGGCACCGCGGTGAGTCGAGCCCCGTGCCTCTGGTTTCCCAGACATGCAGTGATAAACGCGGACGCGTTAACCACTACGCTACCGGCAGCCTCTGTCAACACTGGCCCTCCCCATGTCATCGGAGTCGAAAGGCACCGGTTCATGTAACATAGGGCTAGCGCTTCCGAATAAATTCCGACGGAGCACTGGTCTCATGAAATGCCAGAGATTGACGTCAGGGTCCTGAAACTGTAGTCGTCGGCTGTTGCGCATATGCTCACCTGTGAGGTGATTATCCCTAGATGTGACTGATGACTGCAGATGAGAGTGGACAAGAAAAACGTCAGTGCAGATTCAGTTACAGTGTAATTTTAGGACATCGAGCATTGACATTTTGTGCGTTCAAAGTATTACGGGAAATCACTGCTTGAAATATTTTAATCCGGCAATAAGTGTCATTTGTTTGATCTAAAAGCCTTCGCATTGTTGCACATTGAGCATGCGTTCTAGAAAATTTCGAAAATATGCTGGATTCATCTGGCATGATGCGCCTTGTGGGCTACATTTTACAAAATCCCACTCTTTCACTAAGATTTGCTCCATTTTGACATACCATAAGACTTATGCTCATTGTCCCTTCTATAAGCAGTGATCTAACATTTCGCTCACCGCCACCCCTCGCCATCCAGCCATTTGATGCGATTGGTTCCCGTCATGCCCCCCCCCCCCGCTCCTCTCCCCCCTCGTCGGCCGACCGGCGGCCTGTATGCGGAGTCTCATCGGCTGCTGACGCGGCGGCGCGCGGCGGCCGGGCGCGAGCACAAACACATTAGCGTCATCTCGCCTGCGACGCGGCCGGCCGGCAGGCGCCGGGCACAAAGCGGGCCAGGTGCGGCCGCTCCCAGCCCGAGCAGCACGGCTCGCCGGCGAGATGGAGCACGCCATTGCGGCAGCTAACGGCGGTCAGTGGCGGCGCGATGGGCCCCGCGGCTACTGGCGGCGGGAACCAGGCCCGGTGAGCAGCAGGTTACTGGCGACCACGGTCAGTGGGAAGCAGGTCACTGGCGACCACGGTCAATGAACAACAGATCAATGGTGACCAGACTCGGTGAGCCGCAGGTCACTGGTGACCGGGCCCGGTGAGCAGCAGGTCACTGGCGACCACGGTCAATGGGCAGCAGGTCACTGGCGACCAGGTCAATGCGCGACAGATCAATGGTGACCAGGCTCGGTGAGCCGCAGGTCACTGGTGACCGGACCCGGTGAGCGGCAGGTCACTGATGACCAGGGGCCGGTGAGCGGCAGGTACTGGTGACCAGGCCGATAAGCGGCAGGCTACTGGTGACCGGCCCAGTTACCGGCGGGCCACTAGTGACCAGGCCCGGTGAGCGGCAGGTCTCACGTCACCGGGCCCGGTGAGCAGCAGGTCTCTGACGACCAGGGCCGGTGAGCGGCAGGCTACTGGTGACCAGGACCGGTGAGACGGCAGGCCACTGGTGACCGGTCAGTTAGCGGCAGGTCGCTGAGACCAGATCAATGAGCAGCAAGCCACTAAAGACCAGGTAAATAAGCAACATCTCAATGGTGACCAGGTCAGTGAGCAGCCGGTCACTGAAGGTCAGGTTAACGAGCAGCAGACCACTGGTGACCAGGCCAATGGGAGGCAGCTGAATGCTTTAGTGATCAAGTTCTGAACCACAATCTCTTGGTATGCTGAAGGTCAGTTATTGTTAGCATGCAGACCCCGACCCGTAGCGCCAAAACCCCAAGAGATCAAAGCCTTTCGTGCCTGTGCAGCTCCCAACACGTGCAAAGCGTTGGTAGCGCTACGTTTTCTAACGATCTCTCCGGTGTCTGTGCAGTCACCAGCCAGCCTTCCATGCCCTTTCAGGCAGCTCCATGTCCGTTCAGAATGTGGTGTATTTTAGCCTGATTTTTATAAAGGGACATCCTAACAGTGTACACAAAGTATGTATAGCCTTTCATCCCTACATGCCAGGTCACGGCTTCGTCGGCTTCAAACGGAGTCATTCCCCAGCATGAAAGGTTTTGGAATCGACCGAATATTAAACAAGTTTTTTAACGTCAGTAACCCACACTGAAGTAACAGCGATTCAGGGAGAAATGTTAGTTGTAGGTTAGATCAACTTCATCGGCTCGAACCCACCAACCGATTTTAGACATTGGTATCCATGTTCCTGAGGGGGAGGTATAGGTATGAGCTGGCACGTATGTGCTGACTAGTCATAGCTGCAGTCTATATTTTACAAAGACAATGCATGACGCTTTGTCGGTTTTGGGTGTCCTCCAGCAACGCGTCATGACGTCACAAAAGACTTGCGATCTCTGACTAAGCTGTGATGATCTTAGCTGCGTGCTCCGCATTTGGAGGATGTGACACAACCATGATTTGAGATTATCAAAGCGCCATATAGCTCTGCTGAGCTGCGATATACACGCCTGTCTAATTTGACACCTGATGAGCCTTGCCGGATTTCAGCTAACATTTCATCGCTTTTCCCGTTTCATTGCCCTTTCCGACTTCAAATGATCGCACCACTCCTTCATCCGGTTGACCACACCCTGACCTCGGGTGACCTCATGACATTACCTGTCCTCTCTAAAGCCCCTCCCTTGAGATGGGCTGACCCTACCGCCCGATCCTCCACATCCAGAGTGCTCTTCTCCGACTTCGAGCGACCCCACCATTCCGCCATCCCACCCAGCATCCATCCCCGACGTCAGATGATCCACGCAGTGCCTCTCCGGCGTCCCTACGCAGCTCGCGCACCCGCCTCTCCGACAGCGTCGGCGACGGTGGCAGCGGCGCCGCTGAACGCCGCCGCCACACGGCGACACAGCAACGGGGAGCGGCGGTCAGCGGCGGTCAGCGGCGCGCTGACAGGACCGGGCCCCGGGCGCCGGCCAGCGGAGCGTGTCGCGGCGCGCCTCGGCCGCGGTCGGCGCTGCCCAGTCCGGCAGTCGCCCTTCGACAACGCAGCGGTTCGGCCACGTCCCCAGAATGAGGCCTGCCATCCTGCTCGCGCTGCTGGCTGGCCTGGCGGCCGCCTCGAGTGGACCGTGGGGGGCGAGGCACGCGCCCCAGCCGCCGGCACATCTCGTCTACCGGTACGCGGCTGGCCTGCCGCAGGACTTGGAGAGCACGGGTTCGACCCTGGTCAGCGCGTACAGCGCGCCAAACGAACGGGATGTGCGTCGATACTCAGTCGGCGGCGGCGGCGTGCTGCGACGCCACGGCGAGCACGCCGAGCACGCCGAGCACGCCGAGCACGCGGAGGGCGGGGAGGAGCAGCTGGAGGAAGTGACGGCGCCAGTGCGGCCCCGTCGGCCGCCGCGCAGGCGCCAACGCCAGGGGACCACTGAGAAGCAGACGCCACAGTACCCGGTGCTGGATTTCGCCGAAGCGGTCATCAAGCGGTAAGTCCCAGTCATTTTACTCCAATTACTGTAGTGGACTCGGGGAGGAGGGATACGAGGGTAATGTCTGAAACGAGACGTCAGGTCAGCGCGAACTGTTTGCTGGATTACCTGGTGTCTGGTATCTATACCGAACTTGAGAAATTACTGCGCAACCTCCTGCGACTGGACTATCAGCATCTGGTTACCCTCTGCCCAGCTTTATTGTGTTCGGAAGGCTGTCTAATTTAATGTTGGCCACAGCTTCCTTATCAAATAAAATGGAACTGCAGGCAGACCCCAGATAGGAGCTTAATCTTGGAGTTTGGATCTCGGGCTGTGAACCATGAAGCCCATATATATATATATATATATATATATATATATATATATGGGAACGGCTGAATTCATACTTATATATATATATATATATATATATATATATATATATATATATATATATATATATATATATAAGTATGAATTCAGCCGTTCAAGGCCCTTTTGAAACTTTGGATTAGCATCATTTAAGATCTACCAATTTTTTTCGGGACTCAAGTACATCTATAAGTGGCATTACGACAAAGTGCATGTCACTCACGGCGTGGATATATTGTCGTCATGTGTGAAAACCTTGAAATAACTGGACGTTGTTGCCATGGGTGCCCACAGCAAACCTTTCCTCACCACATAGCATGCCTATTGTAACTCTCATTTGGGGTGCAAGAAAGCACACCGTACGGAGAGCCGAAGCGGTTGGGGAATAACATCCACGACTACCCAACAACATCGAATGATTCACATGCTCGCCTCGCTCGGTAACATTAAACTCATTGTCTGGCAGATCTGTCGATCATCCGTTTCGTCCTGGCATGCTGATTGTAATGTCTGGAGGTTGTATTATATTGTATTCTGTCTATCAGCTGTTCAGGCTTGATACCAGATAGTGTATCTCATGCAGCCGATTCCTGCAAGCGGCCGCCTTTAACATAAACAGTAAGTGTACGGGCTGTCTTTACGACTGCTAGGAGGGAATGACTGGCGCAGATGCATTCTGTGTAAGGCTTGGTCCTTCGTAGGTGTGTCGAAGCACATTTATAGTTTGACCCAACGAGGCGAAGACAGACTAAATTCTGTATTGTTCCAGTACAAACACCGTATCGCCACCATTGTCAGATGAATGGTGTCATTGTTGGAAATCCGCCGTCGTTATTGACAATGATCTTGTGTATGGAAAACATTCACCTGTTTTATTGGTGCTTTATAGCCGCTTAGATGCTGTTACAACGTGACACCAATAGCTCCATCCATTGGTATTGAAGGCTTTTTTGTCTGGGTAACCGATAGTTATGTGTCGGTATTTCATTGTTAGTTTGTAACTCAGCATACCTTTGTGAGGTATCCGGAGTGTGCTTATTCTAAGGCTACAACGCAAATCTGCGCCCACACGTTGCGGAACTTGTGCAGTAATTCACATATTTCATGGTCTACGAAAGCTAACACCATACATTTTCGATTTCGTGATGGAGGAGAGAACTTGCAGCACGGCTTGACTTTGTGCTTGAGCGCATGAAACTGACGCATCCATTAAGTTGGCCGTCTGCATAGGACAACCTCTTAGTGTACCTTCAAACCCCGTCCCCTTGTGCGTCATGCCAAAACCGAGACCCTTTCATCGTGCGCATGGCGTGACATTTCCAAGGGATGGGCATGTCAGCACGGGGCAAGCTCTGCACCGCCGCACGTCACCCCCGTCAGCACGGGTGCATCACGACCCCCGCCCCCTCCACTGCCTGGTCTGGGTGCCGGCCGACCAGCGCGGCGCGGTGAGCGTCGAGACCGCTGCCGTTACAGGCGACCGCTTCACCTGACGAGGCAGCCTCTGACGTGAGGAGCGCCCAGCCAGGTGGGCCCCAACGGTGCCGACGGCCGCCTCCCACGCCGGCGGGGCACCCGTCACATCAGTCACGTGCCCGGGAGTCGGCGCAGCGCCGTGACGTCATCAGTCAACGGAGCGCGGCGTCGGCCGTCCTTCCAGGCCCGCCTGAGCAGGTCGACCGGCGCCGCCCTCGGCCGCTGCTGTCTCAGACCGCACCACCGTCACAGCTCGCTCGCACTCGCTCGCCTCGCTCACCCCACGCTGTGCACGCATCACTCTATGGCTGCTACCCCCAGGTACAGAATGCTCGGATGCGCGAACATGTGGCGCGGTGACAACAGCGTGGCCACGCTGCACCGCTGCGCAGCCGCCTCGGCCAAGACCTACGTACAGCAGCTCCGGCAGCAGGCGGCGGCCCTGGCCGAACACTCGAGGGCCGCCAGTGTCCCCTCGGGGCAGGTCGAGAGCTCCGCCGCTGACTCGGTTGTGGAGGAAGGTGAAGATCCAGTTGCGGGCGCGACAGCAGAGGAGACTGAGGACTCTGTTTCTGACTCCGCCGTGGACGCGGACGGCCCCATGCCTCCCGCTCAGGGGTGGCCGACGGCAGAGTTGACGAGGGTGGATGGATCACCGGCCGGGAGAGCGGCACGCCACCTGAACTGGACCTTCTGGTCCGACTACATGGAGCCGCCGAGCCGGCTGGAGCGACGGCGCGGGGAGCCATCGGCGGTCGGACACAGCGCCGCCGCCGAGCCGCCGCAGGCCCCTGCCGAGCCGGAGCCCTTCGTGCCGCCGCACCTGCGCGACGACTTCCCGTACGACATCCGCGTGGTGCATTCTGGCCTGGTTAACCTGCCGCCGCCCGATGTCAATGGCGTGCAGATGCAGCCGGGCCCGCTGTCAGAGCTGGATCGGCGCCCCGGCTCATACGGGGACCCGCTGACGTGAGTACCGAGACCCGCTGCTGTGAGTACGGACACCCGCTGCGCCTACCGAGACCCGCTGCCGTGAGTACCGAGACCCGCTGATGTATACCGCGACCCGGTGCTGCGAGTACCGAGACCCCCTGCTGTGAGTACGGACACCCGCTGCACTGGGTACCGAGACCCGCTGTCGTGAGTACCGAGACCCCTGCTGTGAGTACGGAGACCCGGTGCCGCGAGTACCGAGACCCACTGCTGTGAGTACGAACGCCCGCTGCACTGGGTACCGAGACCCGCTGTCGTGAGTACCAAGACCCCCTGCTGTGAGTACGGAGACCCGGTGTTGCGAGTACCGAGACCCACTGCTGTGAATACGAACATCCGCTGCACTGGGTACCGAGACCCGCTGTCGTGAGTACCGAGACCCGCTGCTGTGAGTACGGGCACCCGCTGCACTGGGTACCGAGACCCGCTGTCGTGAGTACCGAGACCCCCTGCTGTAGTAGGAGACCCGGTGCTGTGAGTGCCGAGAACCGCCGCTGTGAGTACCGAGACCCACTGCCGTAAATACCGTGGCCCGCTGCCGTAAGCACCGAGGCCCAATCCCAACAGCATAACATTAAAAGCCATGTGAGTGCTAGGACCTGATCAAAATAAGGGCCCTCTGGCGTGGCCATTGGCACACTGGCTGAACATGGGGAACTGCTGACTGCATCAGCGTGAGTATCTCCTGGGCATGAAGACCATCGCGGCCGGCTTGCGTGGGTGGTGGAATGCACTAGTGAGGTTTCCATAAGCCCCGGTGTGGGTATTGGACACCATGCAGCGGTGAGTGCCGAGATCTGCTGGCGACTGGCTGGAACACCGTGATCTACTAGAGTGAGTTTTGAACACCATGCAGCGGTGAGTGCCAGAATCCTTGAAGACTGGCTGGAGCACCGGGGTCTGCTAGGGTAAGTAATGGTATCCAGACTAAATGGGACACGTCGCCGTGATCCCAGAGTGTGCTGCCTCCACTCAGTCAAGACACGGCGGCAGGTGACGCCGCGCCAATGTACACGAGACGGTGTTAGCCGCTGAACACAGCCAGCGAAACAGAGCTGCCAGTGCGCGATCAATCAATCCCTACAGCGGATCAGGTCTATCAAACTGCTGACACTGCTATGTAAACCAGGATCTTTAAACTCGAGGTTTAACCGTTAAGATGTGGTTCTTTTGACTGCTCCTTGTTCCGCCGTATCGAACTTGCATGCACCAAATAGTAATTGGAGGCATTTGGAGCACAGCTCTCTGGCCAGTCCAAAAGTCGAGTATTTCTGGTGTAACCACAATGAATGATCAACTCAGTAACGATCCAGCATTCTGAGCTTTTGTAATTCGTGCTCCGAAAGTTACCGCCTGTTGTTAACGCATGTACGAACGTGACGCATTATTCAGAGTAATGTTGACTTCACTGAGGATTATTATTGACCACTAACTGACCACTGGCAACATTGACAACGTGAACAGACAGTAGACAAAACAAACAACAAACCGACAAATACCATACCATCCTACGCTTCATGACCAGCGGCATCTACAAACTCATCTAGCACAATAATCGACAAGACCGGCAGACCAGCTAGTGATCCCAATGTCAAAGGAGACATCGATCAAATGAAGTGTGCATAGCTACGTGGACGAAAGACGGTGCATGCAGCGCACAAGTCAACACTAACAGACTGAAGATGACATGGACAGACATGGACGATGGACGCCGAAACATGGTTATCAAACAATAAGTCAGGTCCCGGGTTACGACTGAATGCCCGGACGCTTGCCAATGGAAAGGGCGGAGAAAACAGGGATGTTCCGAGGCCATTACAACACAACGCTGAAACGGACCAAACAGCAGACAAAGCAACGGACAGACTCCACAGACCTGCCAGTGTCGGACGGTCACGTGACCTGCCCCTGCCAGCGGTGTGACCGACGACAGAGTGGTGGCGCCGCGGCGGTGGCTGGCGCTGCAAGAGCTCCAGCTGACCCAGGCCGCCGCGTGTTGCAGCGGCGTCGGCGCGGACGCGCCGCTCTGGGAGCGCGTGCAGGGCGGCTCGGACGGCGTGGCTGCCGCGCTGGCCGGGGCCGTCCTCTTCGTCACGGCGGCGTTGGTGGCCACAGCGGCGGTCTCCTCTGTGAGTGGCCTAATTTGAGCCGTCTCGTCTGTGAGCTACCCGATCTCAGCCGCCTCCTTTGTTAGCAACCCGATCTGGGCCGTCTCCGCCGTGAGTGACCCGATTAGAGCCGTCTCCTCTGTGAGTGGCGTGATTTGATCCGTTTCCTCTGTGAGTGGCGTGATTTGATCCGTCTCCTCTGTGAGTGGCGCGATCTGAGCCGTCTCCTCCGTGAGTGACCCGATCTGAGTTCCCTCCTCTGTGAGTGAGCCGATCTGAACCGTCTCCTCTGTGGCTAAGCCGATCTGAACCAACCATCTCCTCTGTGTTTGACCTGATTTGAGCCGTCTCCTCTGTGAGTGAGCCGATCTGAACCGTCTCCTCTGTGTTTGACCTGATTTGAGCCGTCTCCTCTGTGAGTGAGCCGATCTGAGCCGTCTCCTCTGTGAGTGAGCCGATCTGAACCGTCTCCTCTGTGAGTGAGCCGATCCGAACCGGCTCGTCGAGACGTCGACTCGGCTGGCTGGGTCGGGGCGTGTGCCACTAGCGATCTGACCTGGTCAGGCGACGCCGGCTGGCTGGGTCGGGCGACGGTCGGGCGACGCCGGCTGGCTGGGTCGGGGCGTGTGCCACTAGCGATCTGACCTGGTCAGGCGACGCCGGCTGGCTGGGTCGGGGCGTGTGCCACTAGTGATCTGACCTGGCCAGGCGACGCCGGCTGGCTGGGTCGGGGCGTGTGCCACTAGCGATCTGACCTGGTCAGACGACGCCGGCTGCGATCGCCCCGGTCACCAAATACAGCAGCGGCACGAGTAACCAATGCACCAGCTCTCACCGGAAACCGCTCGTTCTCACGTTCTCATCGTTTCTAGGTTACACTCTTGACAGCTTGGGTTAAAAACGAACTTTCCCATGAAAACATTATGTGATTCGGTTCGGTGAAGAACTGTGATTCAGTTGGGCTCTTAGTTTTTGAAGCGCCATGAAGCTTTCCATCCGTGTAGGTAAACAATCATCTGTGCCGGCTACAGGCAGACAATGATACCATTACTGGAGCCACGGCTATGTTTTCTATAATCCAAGCTCAGTATTTATCATAATTATTTCTTCTAATGAGTTTAATGTGGGAATCCTTGAACACGCAGCTACCTGATATGCAGAACTCTAGCTGTATCTCTGATGTGCCGTCTATGTTGTTTTTGTAGACAACATTCTCCATTCCACACAGAGCTTGTCATTTTGAACTTCGAATCCACCACACCACAAAATCTTCGCCACAAACTGGTACGGCTTCATCGCCAGATGACCAGGAGAAAAATGACCGCTGACCGTGTGTGTCCTACCCCACGGCGAACCTTCGGCTACGCGGGGCTGTGCTATGGCGCGGTGACAGGATGCATTGTTTAAGTGTACCAACACGCGTGTGTACATCTGGGTGTGTTTATGTGATCGGTGCATGTGCACGACAGCCACACAGTCGAATGCTGCATGTCGTCTGGTGCAAGTCAACCTCAAGCGAGTACGCTTTTCTTTTGCTCGCGTTATCATTGGTGATGGTCAGCCCGTCCACATGTCCTCCGTCTTCAAATCGATCCGACCGGTATTTCCAATATTTCCAATCGGTGTCTCGGATTCCCACCGTTTGAACGGCCAACGATGACGTAACGACTTGCTTCCGTCGCGTGGCGGTCGTTGACCTCGCCGTTTGCTCGCGTGCCGGTGCTCGACACCGTTACGACCGACTGTCCTGCGCTGTTGCCGCCCGGCTGGCCGCCGCGAGCAGGCCGCGGGCGCCGAGCGGACGGCGCCACTGCGCGGCTCGCTCCGGCGGCTGGCCGCCTGGCGCCGCCGCTGGCAGGCAGCCGGCAGCAGCCGCGGGCCGACTCTACTGCAGAGCGTGCCCTGCAGAGCGTGCCTAGCGGACAGCGCCACCGCGCGGCCCGCTCCGACGGCTGGTCGCCTGGCGCCGCCGCTGGCAGGCGGACGGCAGCAGCCGCGGGCCGACTCTACTGCAGAGCACGCCCTGCAGAGCGTGCCCCGTGCTGGCTTCCGTCGCCAACACACGTCACCACGCATCCTCCCAATGAGCTGATGAGGTTTTTCACCATCAGCGCCACTCTTAAGTCGTGGAGCTGATCTGCCGGTCAGGGCTGGGGCGCGAGTGGCTCCAACTGGCGATCGTACTCACACCGGCCGGCTGGCCGTCCCTAGCCAAAGTCGCCCAAACTGGCAGCCGTCCTCACACCGGCCGACTGGCCGTCCCCAGCCAAAAGCCCTTCCTTAAAGATTGGTCAACTCTCTTCTCCACCACTCACAACTGCAGGCAACGGCCCTACAAAAGAGTAGGAGCAACAGGGACGTGGGGCAGAGATGGAACTTTGCATCTCTTTTGGGGTCGTTCATTCCCCAATGTTAAGCTCCGCCCCCCCCCCCCCCGCCAATATTTGTAGATTGTGTGGATCTGAGATGTAGCCGAGGACTCTTACGGTACTCACTCAACACTTGCTGCTGCGATTTTTGTGGATAGGGTGGAGAAGAGGGAGGGCGGAGTAAACAATGGGGTAGCCCCCATGTCTCCCCTCCTTCACCTTCACCGCCTGTGCTGATTCCCTTTGACAGTCGTGTGATACGATGTCGGACAGTCGTTTTTGGTGCAGTCCATCAGGTCCATGCGATGCATCACCCATGCCGGGCTTTATTTATCTACCTACGTTAAGCACGGACAACTTGTCGGTGTTTGGATCTTGTTGGGCACGCATATTTGCCCACATGACGCTGTAGACGTCCCTTGCACATTTTCCCATCGGTGATATAGGCCAGCGTAGTCGTGTCACTCCGATTGTTTGCGGATGGCTCCAAATGTACGTCATGCAATCGCAAGGCGCATCTCAATTCAGCTGCAGATTCAGTTGTGATTGCTGAATTGCAGAACGGCCAGAGCAAATGAAGGATGTATTTACAAAATATTTGGAATACTCAGAGACACGTAGCGCGGAATGGCAAAACTGGAATACATAGATCATAAAACGAGCTCACCTTTTTGTACTACGGTGTGCAACTGGGTCCGCGCAAAGCCCATACAGCAGGTTGTGATTGGTTCTCGATTGCTTATCCAACCGCGCCGTCTTTTGCATGTCGGACATTTAAAGTCAGTCATTTTACCTCTATGTCATTGTATTTCTGACGATCTCGCCACTGCCGCAATGCTTCGTTGCCGCCAAAGCTCCAGTCTTATTTACAATTGTTTGTCGCATACTCACTGATCCGACACCTTCGATAGTGTCAGATAGCGTTTGATAGCTTATCTATACAAATAACCTCCACAATCGTCCTCGATCTACGATCCAACATTTCGTGCAGTGGTGCCGTTCACAACATTCGGCGTCCTACTGAGGGATCCCAAGATTCATCGTTGCTTGCGCAACAGGATGAATGCCTGTCCGACGGGTTAAATACCTCTCAACCTGATTCACCACGTATCTAATTGATGGTAACTTTGTGTAGTAAATACACGGACCTTCCCGCCAGCAAAAGACGCTCATCAATCTCCGTACTGAGCTGTCAGCACGCAGGTGCAGTCCTCACGCTCGCACGCGCATACAGTGCAAATTACAGGCCCATAATGCCCTTTGTTTAACCCGCGTACGGTTCTACAAGCAAATTCGACAGACAGACAGACGCATCAGCAAACGTATATATTCGCGGAAGGTAAGTTATATAAGAGTCTCGTTTTGACAAGGAGCTGGGATAGAGGTGCTGTTCCCCTCATATTGTGACTACTTCGCTCCGCAGTCCAGGGTCTAAACGTGGCTATAACAAAGGTCATTTGCTGCTAAAAAAGAAAAGCACACACGACACTGGAGAAGAAAAGATGCGAGAAACTGTCGGCACAAAGACAAGGTCGCCGAAATACGTAGATACTGGTTCCAAGTCGCGTGGAATTCAGCTGGTCCAGATTTTCTCTCCGTAAGTGATTTCCTTTAAAATGGCTGTGTTGCGGTGCCCGTCCCTTGGAATTTGTTGTCTTTTGGTAATGAGCATTTTGTAACCCTTGATGGTGCATTCTGGAATTGGGTAATTCTTGAAAACAAATGCTACGACGCTCTGAATTGATGGCTTTTGTATTTCTTCACTGAAGTGGCAATACATAATTTCATCAGGGTACAACACACGGTTGTGGTGACCTTGAAAGTGAAGGTTTCAGGGAGGTTTTAGTGGCCCGCGTTCTTGGTGTCCCTAGAAAATAAACGTCATATCGCCTCCAAATGAGGGTTTTGGTGCCTCTATGGCGAGCGCTTTGATCTGGGAATTTGTCAGTGGAGCGGTTCCAACATTGCACGTTCTCCTGTAATATACTGCCTCTTGAAAATGAAGGTTTGGGACCCTCTGTGACGTCTACTGGAACTGGTTGTCTGGAATTACGAGGTGGAAAACAGATGTTATGGTGCCGAAAAACGAAGGTTTTGATGACTCGCCGAGCGGTGAAGGACGAGCTGATTCAAAACCTCTTTAGAATGGGAGGCGCAGCATTGCTGTGACCCTGGAGTTTGATGTCCCCTGAAACTGATGGTTTGGGCCTATCTGTGAGGATCTCTGGAGTTGAGTACCTCCTGAAAATAAAGGCCGTGGTGTCCCGAAATGATGGTTGCATGCTTCTTTGCTAAATGGGACGTTCCAGGACTTCGCCAAATCGGCACGGCGCGAATATTGTGGTGCCCCTGAAATTCATTGCCTCAAAAATAAAGATTTGGCACCCTTTGTGGCGCTCCTTTAATTTTGTGTCTATCAAAAATAGAAGCTATATGGTTCCGGAATGAATGCATTAATGGTGTCTCTTCACCATGACATTTTACCTAAACCCCATGAGTGGCCCAGGCGGGGAGGGAGGGAGAGATGCATCGCAACCAGTCCCTATCTCCGGATCCACCCCTGTCTGCCCAGCGTTGTTTGATATCAAGCAGGACGAGCCATTCCAAATTTCGAAGTCTTAGAGCATTTCCCTCACACCACTCAGTGAAGTGTTTTCTTCAGCCCCCAGTGGCTGGCACTTCTAGGATGAACCCAACAGCTTCTCAAAGTAGCTGCCCTTCCGCAGCTTCCTGGGGCGGCTTTTTGTAGGCACATGCAGTGCCCAGGACATTGAGGTGCTGCGGGTCAAATAGTAGCATCTTTTTCTCCAAAAATGAAACGTTTTTGACCCAAAACTAGAGGACAAAATCGTTATGGACCATATTTTGGAAGCTGCGATGCGTCCCTAAAGAAACGTCACTAAGAAACAAACGCCCATCCGCTGTTTTGCAAGCTGTCGCACCTCCGAACTATTGCACACAGTTCAAGGGCACTCCGAGTAACACCGCCCAGAGTCAAAGGTGGGCGTGTCTTGTGTGAGACGCATCCAGACGAAATGCAAACGCAGGTATGATCACGTGATTTAGGATATGTCAGCGGGCTAGTGGCTGAAATTCACGGAAGGGTGTCTGGAAAATAAGGTGGGTAACGTTTATGGTTTCCCTCCATGAAAATATCTGAGCTCCAACCCGGAGGGAAGCGGAAAGAGACCATGGCCACTCACATTCCAAGGAAGCTCATTCAAGTTAAATTGATTTATTTTGTCCTGTCATACTTTTAAAAAGTGACCTACGATCTTTTCGAAGCGAGCCTACGCCCTCCTTCTCCCTGCCCCCCCCCCTCCCCTCCCCCCCCCGTGTCCAGTTCGTGAGGTGGCTACTGTCTGCCTTCTCCTCATACGTCCATGCAGGGAATGTCTAACAGGCTCTGGCTCATCTGCAGATTGTTCCAGGGAACTCAGCGGCGGGCCAGTACAAGCGGCGTTAGAAGACGCCCCCGCCCCCAGCCCTCACTACCCTCGCTTTCTGTCCCTCGACACGGTGCTACAGTTCATTGGCATCCTTATTGGCGTGGCTCTCCTCTTTGGCTATATCGCCATTTCGACCCTCAATGCCGTATCAAGCGTAAGTAGCATGCGCGCCATGCGGAGATGAGAGTCCCTTTCCTTTGACTGACCTTTGTCGCGGTCATTGTTGGATGACATTGACACTTACTTGACTGATGAGCGTGCATGGAAATATCTAATAGCTACTAACAAACTCCGCGCTATTTCCAACTAAAACTTATGTACTTGCACTAAACTTACTACTAAAACTTAACATCATATGTACTTTGCAGTTCTGCAAGTGGGCCGTTCTATGATGGCATGCAATAATCTGGCTGGGTGTGGATCGACGGGCATTATAGCCGCTTCAGACGCTGCATTTAACAAACATGCATGTCTTCCATAGATCACGTCCACGTAGCCATAGATGACCTTGCTGTATGGCCCTTTCGTAGTGCCTCCTTGTCCTGCCTCTTGGCAGAGGATGGCTGACCCGTTATGCTCCCACGGCCGAGGGTGACGGGCCCGTCCTGAGCCAGTAACAGAAGGTGTTGACCTGACCTGTGCCCCTACCGTGCACCAGGACGGTGTCGGCTGGCAGGAGCTGCTTGGGCGCAGCCTGGCCGGCCATCCGGCAGACCCGGCTGACGGTGGCATCCTGGACATCGTCCGGACGGTGGAGGCCGCCCTGTATCCTCAGCAGGATGGCTGCCTCCGCTGGCAACTCTGTCGTATGGGGCAGTCGTCCAGCTGGCAGCCGCTCCAGTCAATGTTGGGGTGAGCAGGGACACAAGGCCCCGGCAGCGCGCACGCCACCGCATCTTCCGCGACGACACGCTGAAGGCCGACGCTACTTGAGTGCTGGCTAGCTGTCTCAGTGAAGAATGAATGGTGTATAAAATGGCGGTCCGTTCCGGCATAATGTTGAAATAGTATGTCGGCATGGACTACTCTGGTTTTAGTGTGCATGGCCACCGCGTAGTGCCCAACGTGACGCTGATCTGGGTCAGCCCTGGTCTGTGTCTGGCCCCATCTCGTACCCCCAGCGTGGACGTGGCCTGGGTCAGCCCTGGTCTGAATCTGACCCAATCTTGTGCCCCCAGCGCGGGCGTGGCCTGGTTCTCGGACAGCTCGGAGGACGAGGGGGACCTAATGGCGAAGCTGAAGGCGGTGGCGGAGGGCGCAATGGCTGGCGACTGTCGGGCCTACCCACGCTGTTCGCGCTAGCGCCGTCACGCCGGTCGCCTGCTGACCGGGCGGCAACGCACAGCGACCAACATCGGGAGAGAGGGTGTGTGTGAGAGAGAGGTAGAGAGAGAGAGAGAGAGAGAGAGAGAGAGAGAGAGAGAGAGGGAGAGAGAGAGAGGAGAGAGAGAGAGAGAGAGAGAGAGAGAGAGAGAGAGAGAGAGAGAGAGAGAGAGAGAGAGAGAGAGAGAGAGAGAGAGAGAGAGATAGAGGAGAGAGAGAGAGAGAGAGAGAGAGAGAGAGAGAGAGAGAGAGAGAGAGGAGAGAGAGAGAGAGAGAGAGAGAGAGAGAGAGAGAGAGAGAGAGAGAGAGAGGCGCAAGAGGCGCAGAGCGGCCGTCGCCGATGGGTCTCAGCCACTCGCAGAGGAGGAGAAGAGAGAGAGAGAGGAGAGAGAGGAGAGAGAGAGAGAGAGAGAGGCGCAAGAGGCGCAGAGCGGCCGTCGCCGATGGGTCTCAGCCACTCGCAGACCCTGGGCTGCTTAGTTTGAGGCGTGACGTGCGGGCTGCGGACATTGAGGGGGGCAAGGCCGCCGCTGGTAAAGCTAGGCGTCACAAACGTGGCGTGCGAGTGCGATTCTCAGGTCATATGTATGTCGATTAGTCGAATAGCAATCGTACCAGAGACGTGGTGCTGCCAGAGCCCGTCTCCCTTCTGGTCTTAATGTCGCTTTAGAGAGGATTTACTGGTGTAGCATTTCAGAGTTATCAATTGTGTACTGTGGCTCAGCGCAGGTATCTCGGCGTGATTGTTCCTCGCGCGGTTGTTTGACCTTCGGCACTCGTTATTTGCTCAACCAATACAGAAGTAAACAAAGACATAACTTACTTTTAATGATATTCCACGCTGCGAAAGTCGGCCAACAATAAAAACAGATGCTGAACAAAACCGTGTACGAGCTGCGGTAACCCACGGCATTGTGTAGCGGCAGATGGGACGGGAACAGGCGTTAGGGCAGTGTGCAGCGGCAGATCGGATGGGCACATACGTTAATGCAGTGTGCAGCGGCAGATGGAAGACATGCAGACGTTAGGGCAGTGTGCAGCGGCAGATGGAAGATATGCAGACGTCAGGGCAGTGTGCAGAGGCAGATGGGACGGCCACAGAAGTTAGGGCAGTGTGCAGCGACAGATGTGACGGGCACAGACGTAAGGGCAGTGTGCAGCGGCTGATGGGACAAACACGGACGTCAGACCAGTGTGCAGCGGCAGATGGGACAGACACAGACGTTAATGCGGTGTGCAGCGGCAGATGAAAGGTATGCAGACGTCAGGGCAGTGTGCAGCGGCAGAGGGGACGGATACGGACGTAAGGGCAGTGTGCATCGGCAGATGTGACGGACACAGACGTAATGTCAGTGTGCAGCGGCAGATCGGACGGCACAGACGTTAGGGCAGCGTGCAGCGGTAGATGGAAGATATGCAAACGTCAGGGCAGTGCGCAGCGGCAGATGGGACGGGCACATACGTTAAGGCAGTGTGCAGCGACAGATGGGACAGACACGGACGTCAAGGCATGCCCACCATCAGCCAACCTGACCTGACCGACTGCAGAGCACAGGAGCTTACTGAGCGGCCAAGGACTTTCCACTGACACCACACGCATCCTAACTGTCCCCTCACCTCACGGCCATTAAGTACGCGGTGTAAACAGCTGATGACAGTGATCCAGCACTGACTGGGTCATGCAGAGCAGTGCAAACCTTATAGTCGACAGTGACGACCAACTGGACGCCCGGGCTGCGAGCATTAGTTACAGAAAGCAGGCGTGAGCAATCGTAAAATGATGCATGATAGCCTGTAACACCGGTATGAGAGCCCTCTGCAGTTAGGCTAACGATATTGTAAGTGGTCTAGCCATCCTGATCGGGGTTGTGGACACAGTCCACCAGTGCTCCAATCCTTCACTGATCCTGTGCTGCCCTCTATAGGTGCGTGCGGTGAAGCAGAGCGGTGGCATTCGTCCGCCCGCCGGTTTCCAACGGGAGCATCGTGTTTATACCGTCGTCTCTTCCCAGCAATTTCGGTTCTAACCGATGGGTGGTGGCCATGAGCCGCGCACCCTGTAACTGAAATATGATGAATCCACCTATCAGCGTGCGCTTTCACACAACGCCAGGCGAGAGCGGCCACTGACAATGTCTGTCCCACTGACTACCAGCGCCTGACCACCTCCAGTCTCTGTGATTAATGGTTCACACTCAACAACCACTCCTCGTGAACACTCGGTTCCCACCCTCCAGCTCCAACAGTTGCCGGAGATTTGAGCGTCCCCTGCTACCGACCACCTCTATCAGATCCCGCTGAGACTGGCAGGCAGGGCAGCCCTGTCACAAGCACTGCACTGCTGGGTCAGTGGATGAGACCAGCACACCACAAGCTTTGAGAATCGGCGGCCCGGGTGTTCCGGTCCTGGGTCCATTTTCCCGGTGTCCCGGTCCTGGGTCCAATCCCATCTGTTTCCACTCATCCACCAGCTGACGCAGGGTACCCGCAGACGCACACGGCTGCGTGTCAACGCTCAGGAAATCTCCAGTAATTTATTTGATCAGCACATGCACCCCACTAAAGACGGTAATTTTGGAGCAGCATGCGCGTTGCATCATTATCTAACACACCCAAATAAAAACATGCTTACACATTCGCTACATGAATGATCTACGAACAATATCAGACTGTCGATATCTTTGTCTCTATATCATCCTTTAAGGCTATACAATTTGGACACTTACAAACACACATGCCACTGACCTGTCGACAAGCCACGGGAAGTACAACGCCTGTTACTGATTGAATCATGATTAAAAACGCCCACATAACATCAAGCAGAATGCAAACAAAGACAGAAAGATAATGCAACTTTAAATGTTCTGCACACGTGACACACGTCTGCAAGACGAAGGATGATCCAGTTCAGTTGATGGCGTGCAGCATGGGGAACGTCTTGCTGTACATCCTCTGCAGTTCACTGTGCAGCATGGTCATGTAGCGCTGCTGGAAGCCGGCGATGTCGCACAGGTCCCGGATCTTGCGCAGGTTGTCCAGCCTGCGGACGAGTCGCCCCTTTACCGTACGTACGGCACAGACCAGACACCGTCACAATCGTACTGTCGACCAGGCGCATATCGCAGCACACAATCACACCACTGCACGCAGGCTCCCAGCACGCACCGGGGCAGCTGCAGTTACAGCGTCGTGGACTCGTGATATCACGCTTTCAAGTTCGATCTCCCACTGTTGAGTTCGTATGCACCGAGTCCAGAAAGCCCGTCAGCACAGCGCGTTTCAGCCGGCGGACGGCTTCCAATGCCGCCCGGCGACAGCTGTCTGCCGCCGGTGGACGACTGCCCATGGCGGGCCGGGTGGCCGGGCCGGGGCGGGACGACTTCCCGGGCGGACCACACCACCGCGGCCGCAGCCGGACCCACCTCTGGCGCGCCTGCCACGCCCGCTGATGGTTGCAGCGGATGTCATAGAGCAGCTCGCGCTCGGACACGTCGACGTTGAGCTCGCGCGCCTCGAGCGCCAGCCGCTGGTTGTCGGCCCGCTTGATGCGCAGCAGCCGCTCCAGGTACTCTGTGACGTCGGCGTCCTCCTCCCGCTGGCGCGCCGCCTCCTGCCACGCCGCCAGCCGGCGCGTCACAGAACAGTCACGGCAGCGTGCTCAGGCTCACCGGCCGTACCCCATCTGGCACAGTCACTGTGCACAGTACGCACGCGCTGGGTGTGTTGGCAACTGGTGTAGCGGGTAATACTGATCTCCGTGGCCGTGGTGGTAATTAGTGTACCGGGCGATGCCGACCACCGCGATCGTGGTGGTAGTGTTGCGGGCAAAACTGACCGTTGTGGATGTGGCGGTAACCGGTGTAGCGGATAATGTCAGCGATGTAGCAACCACACTCGAACTCGCGCCTTACAGAAGCGTTTCTACGCTCCAGTCATATTTAAATTCATATAAAAACGCCCCCTGCGATGACACATTGAAAGTGTCGCGTCATGAGGTGTCAAGAGCGCGTGAAGGCCGCGGACGGGACCAGCGGCAGCGGGACCCGGACCTGGTACAGGATGTCCAGCCGTCGCTCTAGACGGGCGATCTTTTTCTCCGTGGTGTCGCCGCCCTCCGACAGATACTGCTGGATGGCCCTGGTCACCTGTTGGCCGGCAGACACCCCGCCAGGCGTGAGGCAGCGTCCGGCAGACAGTGCAGATTAGGGACTGAGGGCTACTGCGCCCCGCTACATCCACGCACCCTCACAGCCGACCCCCTCCAATTCCGTTACAGCCACGCACCTCACACAGCCGATCTCTCTACTCCCGTTACAGCCACGCACCTCACAGTCGACCTCTCCACTCCCGTTACAGCCACGCACCTCCCAGCCGATCTTCTCCACTCCCGTTACAGCCACGCACCTCACAGCCGACCCTCTCCACTCCCGTTACAGCCTCGCACCTCCTAGCCGATCTCTTCACTCCCGTTACAGCCACGCACCTCACAGTCGACCTCTCCACTCCCGTTACAGCCTCGCACCTCCTAGCCGATCTCTTCACTCCCGTTACAGCCACGCACCTCACAGCCGACCCCTCCACTCCCGTTACAGCCACGCACCTCACAGACGACCTCTCCACTCCCGTTACAGCCTCGCACCTCCTAGCCGATCTCTTCACTCCCGTTACAGCCACGCACCTCACAGTCGACCTCTCCACTCCCGTTACAGCCTCGCCACCTCACAGTCGACCTCTCCACTCCCGTTACAGCCACGCACCTCACAGCCGATCTCTCCACTCCCGTTACAGCCACGCACCTCACAGACGACCTCTCCACTCCCGTTACAGCCACGCACCTCCCAGCCGATCTCTCCACTCCCGTTACAGCCACGCACCTCCCAGCCGACCTCCTCACTCCCGTTACATTCACGCACCTCACAGCCGACCCCTCCACTCCCGTTACAGCCACGCACCTCACAGTCGACCTCTCCACTCCCGTTACAGCCTCGCACCTCACAGCCGACCCCTCGCTCCCGTTACAGCCACACACCTCACAGCCAACCTATCCACTCCCGTTACAACCACACCCCTCCCAGCCAACCTCTCCACTCCCGTTACAGCCACGCACCTCACAGCCAACCTATCCACTCCCGTTACAACCGCGCACCTCACAGCCGACCTCTCCACTCCCATGAAGATTTGCACAGCCAACAGTCATCAGGTGTGAAATCAACTGACGACCCCGACACAACACTGTCGCGATGGAGTCCAATGGTTCAAATACAGCCAGCAGAGCAGAGAAGAAAAGGAAAGAGAGGTTCAATAACAGCCAGTGGTCACAGATGACAACGAAATCGGTTCTTAATGCACCAAACCAACAGCTTAAGTGAATAGTTACTATTGGGCAACACTGAGTGGGCACTACAGTAGCGATCACCAACAAATGATGGTAAGTCCGCTTGACCCAGGGCTTGCGCGGGGCCTGCGTTAAAAACCAGAGTGTCGCCAGTGTTTCACCACCAGCCGACGCTGCTCGGTGCCTGCAGCCCCACCGCCGGCCATGGCTATCCCTGGCCAGCACTCTGACACTTGCAGGGCAGCCGGACGCCAACACAGCGGCCCCGGCGGCCACGGCCATCCCTAGCCAACACTCTGACATCCTGTGGTGCAGCCGAACGCCACCACAGCGCCCCGGCGGCCATGGCTATCCCTGGCCAGCACTCCGACACCCTGCGGGGCAGCCGGACACCATCACAGCGCCCCGGCGACCATGGCCATCCCTGGCCAACACGCTGACACCCTGCGGGGCAGCCGAACGCCACCACAGCGCCCCCGGCGGCCATGACTATCCCTGGCCAGCACTCCGACACCCTGCGGGGCAGCCGAACGCCACCACAGCGCCCCGGCGGCCATGGCTATCCCTGGCCAGCACTCTGACACCCTGCGGGGCAGCCGGACGCCCCCGGCGGCCATGACTATCCCCGGCCAACGTCCTGACACTCTGCGGGGCAGCCGGACGCCCCCGGCGGCGGCCCCAACAGCGCACCTTCATGAAGTCGATGTCGCGCAGTGTCTGCACCAGGTCCTCCAGCGTCATGCGGCAGCGCTCGTACTCCCAGCGCTGCATGACGATGCCGCGCCGGAACCGCAGCGCGTCCCGCATCACCTCCAGCTTCTTGCCGCCGATGCCCTGCCGCAGCACGCCACGCCAGTCGACACATCTGATGCACTCTCGAATGGACCGATAGTCATACGGCCGTTCGACAATTCATTTCAACTCCAAGAATGCTGAATTGTTATGCAGAATGAACACATCTAGAATCCTGTCCAAGTTCGCAAAACATGTGAAGCGTAATGATTACATAATACGAGACTGGACAGGTCGAGTCCCAGAAAGTGCGAGAGCCATTCAGCGTTCCACGCATTTCAAGAGACGTTGGCTCCCTCACCACGTCTCCAGTGGGGACCAACGGTGCCCGTGTTAGCCGTGACGCGGCACCAGTCATTTACACCCGGCGGCGGTCAGCGAGCCGTACCAGGATCTGTTTGTTGAGCAGCTCCACCCGCGAGCGGTGGATCAGCGCCGAGCCCGTGAAGTCGGGACAGAAGTCGCCCAGGTCTATCTCCACCTGGCCCTGCTTCACCACCAGCTGGATCTGAAGCGCGGCGACGACCACGGAAGTCACCAAGTTACCACGCCGCGTCGGCTACAGATTATCAACTGACTCTGAGGCACGACACCGACCACGGAAGTCACCAAGTCACCACGCCGCGTCGGCTACAGATTATCAGCTGACGCTGAGGCACGGCACCGACAACGGACGTCACCAAGTCATCACGCCGCGTCGGCCCCATCAGATTATCCACTGACTCTGAGGCACGGCACATACCGTAAAAGCCACCAAGCCTGGCACGGCCTAGACCACAAACGTCCCAGGTCGCCATCGGTCTGATCTGAAGCCTGGCAAGGATCAACCAAACGACCAATCTTACATCTTGTTGAGAATTCCAAAGTATGATTTTTCAAGGTTCAACATCAGTGCTACAACAAAAATTCATCCCTACGGATAAGCTACGACATTGCTTTTACTGTAAATACTCCCACAGCATACCTGCTACGTGACAAAACTTATGCTACAAAACCCTTACACGTCATATTCACTTCTGTTGCACAAACCTATTGTCATCACTTACACGCATCCCTCCTACTGCAGACTTACACGTGCCATTACTGCTCTACGACAAAACACGACATGACACGAGACAGACAAAGGGGCAGGTACCTCGTGGTCGTGCAGCTGCCGCAGCCGCCGTTCGCGCAGTTCGGCCAGCTCCGAGATGAGCGCCTGCGAGCGGATGGTGAGCGCTTCCTCGAGATGACACCGCTTCTCGATCGAGTCCACCAGGGCGGCCACCTCGGCATTGCAGCGCAGCACCTGCGCGGGGTGTGTGGTTGGCGCCAGCCCTGCTCTCTAGCCTACACAGCCAGGTGACAGCGGACGCGTGCGCCGGACGGCCGAAGGGGCTCACCCGCACCCCCCTCCCTTCCCACGGATCTCTTGGGCTCCCACACCGCAGGGTCATCCACCGGGCGCCCGGCCGCGGCCGCACACGTGTTCCCCCCAGCCCGCCGCCGACGGCCGTACCTTGAACTCCATCAGCACTTTAGCCAGCCGCAGCTGGCACATCTTGAGCCAGAGCGGCACTTCGATATCCTCCGAGCGCTGCGCGTCGTCGTCCAGCTCCTTCATCGCCTCCAGAATCGCCCGCTGTTGCAACGCGTATCATGAAGCAGATGCGGCGTTAGTCATGACAAACAGTACACTGACACCTCTGATATGGCAGAGGCCAACAGACACACGGGTTTAGGCGCTACAGTCCTCGGCTGCAAACGTTTCAACAGGGAACGGCGGCGTCATCGCGCGCAACATCCACACGCTAAATAAGTACGGACGAGCGCTCGGTGGCCGCTCAGCCTTGCCTGGCTGAGGCGCGACCGTAAACGCCATCACGGCCAGTTGGCTCAGCCGCACAGAGTTCTGAGAGTATCAGGTCTGACTCGTGGCCAGCCGGTCGCAGAGGCGGAAGCGGGGCGGGTGGCAAAGGACGAGGACGGGTTACCTTGCCGGGCACGGTTTTCACGTTGGCCTGGTAGGGTGCACCGCCGTGCATGGAGGAGACGTAGCCGCGGTAGGCGCCAGGCACGGCCAGGGTGGTGCGGCGGGCATGCTCTGGATCGGTCGGCTCGCGCGACACGCTCTCCCGGTTGGAGCCCGCCGCCTGACGCACGCGTGCACGCTGACTGCAAGCCCGGCGCGCAGACAGGGCGGATGCCGGACGCGCGGACAGACGGAGCACCTCATGCAAGAAAACAGCAACGGAGGAACAGCAGTGAAGGAGTGGGGACGAACCCACAGAACATTGCAGAATGATATACGTGACGGCCAGTTTGTGTCACACACCGGGAGACACGAACTGGCCGTCACATAAAACAAAACAAACAAGTTTGTATCACATGCCAGCTGCCCACGCCGAGTGACACCAAGTCATTCCAGATAACGAGTGACGTCGCCCGCCCCGCTGGCTGACCGGAGGACGGGAGCACTCTGCACGTACGGGCGAGCGGCTTCCGTGACGGCTGCGGTTGCGGCTGCGGGAGCGGCGCCGGCCGTGGTGCCGCTTGTCCACCTCGATCACGCCGTCCTCCGCCAGCGTGAAGCGGCGGCCGCCCGGCCCCATGTGGCGGCGCAGACACGGCGGACGCCGTCTGCCGGGCCCACACACACACACATGCACACGTGCTTCGGCGAGCAGGCAGCTTCGGTGCGGCCGGGCTTACGGCCAGCGCCGCCGAGGGGCGGTGGGGGAGGGGGGGGGGGGGGCTAGTCAGACACACGGCCAGATATGTGTGCGACACATCCCTCCTTAAGGCCCGGATCGCGCCCGCTACGTGAAAATGCAGCCGGTGTGTTTGACGGGCATAGTCGACTTAGTCGTCACAGTTTCTCCATTCCGCTTGCACCAATTTCCGCTTCCGTGCCACGATACGCCACTGGCTACCACGCGGCTAAGCTGAGGTCAGCCAGTGATACTGGAGCTGGAGTCGAAACACAGCCTGCGCACCACCCCGCCCGCGGCGGGGCCGGCCACCTAACCCCCACCACCAGTGCCCCGCGCCGCGCCGGGCGCACGTCACCTGAAGTAACGGAACAGGGCGTCCACCACGTTGGACGGCACGTCGGCAAACTCGCGCCGGAAGCCGCGCTCCATCAGCCGGTCCTGCTGCATCAGCGGCTCCTGGGCGGCGCGCGCCGCCTCCAGCGCCCGGCGCAGGTCGGCGTTGGCCGCCTGCAGGCCGATCTTGCGCTGCTGCGTCATATCCATCTGGCGGCTGCCGACACAAGCTGTAGTTTAGACGTTACTCGGTAGGCAGCCGACGGGTCACGATGAGCCAGCGTATCTCTTATAGTCAAACCGAATGTTTGAATGACGGCGAGACAGGCGTCATACAGTAAATAACGCTAATTGGCGCGCCGTGCGGTGTCAAGTAACTTGGCAGCCATTAACCTGAGACAAGAAGCGGAAAAATATATCCTGTTACTTGGCTCAAAGTGTAACACAATTGTCCATCCTGCTCACTGATCTCTGCTTCCGTGTCACACCACATCACTGGTTGCCACGCGACTAAGCTAAAGACAGTCAGTAAGGACAGAGTGGGAGCCGGAACGTCCACTGCACGCTAACTCGTCCGAACCGCCAAAGAGCACTGCCCCCACGAGACTCCGTGGAGTACAGCAGGCGCGCGGCCAGAGCCTTGGGGGGGGGAGGGGCACAGGGTTGATAAAGGGCTCCCTGATAATGAAAGATCCCCAAAACGAAATAAGATCGACAGATATGGGTCCATGTTTAGTGAGGGCATTTCGTATCATTCCTTTTTATCTGTTCATGACTGGAATAGACGCCAGACGCTACCGCAAAATAAGTTCTGCCAGAATTCTAAGCAATTTGAACCGAAGAAATCATGTGTTAAGCGACTGCATGACAAAATGGCCGACGATCTTCATTTTACAGAAGATTGTAGCTCGAAATGGGTAAACAATTCGCATTAACATGACCAAGCCCTTAGACCGTGCCTTACGGAAGTGAAAACTAATTCTGACATGCGCCTTTCGAGCCCTTAATCGTAGGTCCCCAAGGGACCGAAGGACCCTTCGGAACCTAAGAGGGGACGTTCCCTGTGCCCCTCCCCCTGCTTGCGCCAATGCAGTACATTTGAACGCTTAGGTCCTGCTGAGCATTGTACTTTTCATACGCTCCGTATTCATATCCCAATACCATGGCTCTAAAATCAAGTTGGCGACCGGATAAAACATATTTCACCAAAGAAAATACAAAATCCTATTGAACGAGCTGTAGAAAGCCATCCCATACAGGCATCTCGTTCAATCAAGTCGCCCACGCACACAGCCAGCATCCAACCAGGTGCTGCATGACTGTCGCTGCCGGCGCTCACCAGAGCTCGGTCTCTCTCCCGTTTTCTGGCGGTCATCTTCGCTGGCCACATCCCGGATCAGTCTGCTGACCTTCAGCTCCTCCTGGTAGATAGCGTGTTCCGTCTGTACCTTAAGCGTGAACAGCTGATTCAGACTGTCGTCAAACCGGTCCACCGTCTCCTGTGCGACCGACAGCTAGATCAGTCCCAGTCCCTTCTGGGTCCACCGTCTTCCTGAGGCGCCCGAAAGCTAGATTAGTCCCAGTCCTTCTGGTCCACCGTCTCCTGTGCGACCGACAGCTAGATCAGTCCCAGTCCCTACTGGTCCACCGTCCTGTGCGACCGACAGCTAGATCAGTCCCAGTCCCTACTGGTCCACCGTTCCTGTGCGACCGACAGCTAGATCAGTCCCCAGTCCCTACTGGTCCACCGTCTCCTGTGCGACCGACAGCTAGATCAGTCCCAGTCCCTACTGGTCCACCGTTCCTGGCGACCGACAGCTAGATCAGTCCCAGTCCCTACTGGTCCACCGTCTCCTGTGCGACCGACAGCTGGATCAGTCCCAGTCCCTACTGGTCCACCGTCTCCTGTGCGACCGACAGCTGGATCAGTCCCAGTCCCTACTGGTCCACCGTCTCCTGAGCGACCGACAGCTAGATCAGTCCCGGTCCCTACTGGTCCACAGTCTCCTGTGCGACCGACAGCTAGATCAGTCCCAGTCCCTACTGGTCCACCGTCTCTGGCGACCGACAGCTAGATCAGTCCCAGTCCCTACTGGTCCACCGTCTCCTGTGCGACCGACAGCTGGATCAGTCCCAGTCCCTACTGGTCCACCGTCTCCTATGCGACCGACAGCTGGATCAGTCCCAGTCCCTATTGGTCCACAGTTTCCTGTGCGACCGACAACTAGATCAGTCCCAGTCCCCTTCTGGTCCACCGGCTCCGGTGCGACCGACAGCTAGATCAGTCCCAGTCCCTACTGGTCCACCGTCTCCTGAGCACCTGACAGCTAGATCAGTCCCAGTCCCTACTGGTCCACCGTCTCCGGTGCAACCGACAGCTAGATCAGTCCCAGTCCCTACTGGTCCACAGTCTCCTGTGCGACCGACAGCTAGATCAGTCCCAGTCCCTGCTGGTCCACCGTCTCCGGTGCGACCGACAGCTAGATCAGTCCCAGTCCCTACTGGTCCACCGTCTCCTGAGCACCTGACAGCTAGATCAGTCCCAGTCCACCTACTGGTCCACCGTCTCCGGTGCAACCGACAGCTAGATCAGTCCCAGTCCCTACTGGTCCACAGTCTCCTGTGCGACGGACAGCTAGATCAGTCCCAGTCCCTATTGGTCCACAGTTTCCTGTGCGACCGACAACTAGATCAGTCCCAGTCCCTACTGGTCCACCGTCTCCGGTACGACCGACAGCTAGATCAGTCCCAGTCCCTACTGGTCCACAGTCTCCTGTGCGACCGACAACTAGATCAGTCCCAGTCCCTACTGGTCCACCGTCTCCGGTGCGACCGACAGCTAGATCAGTCCCGGTCCCTACTGGTCCACCGTTTCCTGAGCACCTGACAGCTAGATCAGTCCACAGTCCCTACTTGTCCACAGTCTCCTGTGCGACCGACAGCTAGATCAGTCCCGGTCCCTACTGGTCCACCGTTTCCTGAGCACCTGACAGCTAGATCAGTCCCAGTCCCTACTGGTCCACAGTCTCCTGTGCGACCGACAGCTAGATCAGTCCCGGTCCCTACTGGTCCCACCGTTTCCTGAGCACCTGACAGCTAGATCAGTCCCCAGTCCCTACTGGTCCACAGTCTCCCGTGCGACCGACAGCTAGATCAGTCCCGGTCCCTACTGGTCCACCGTTTCCTGAGCACCTGACAGCTAGATCAGTCCCAGTCCTTCTGGTCCACCGTTTCCTGAGCACCTGACAGCTAGATCAGTCCAGGTCCCCTACTGGTCCACAGTCTCCTGTGCGACCGACAGCTAGATCAGTCCCGGTCCCTACTGGTTCCACCGTTTCCTGAGCACCTGACAGCTAGATCAGTCCCAGTCCCTTCTGGTCCACCGTTTCCTGAGCACCTGACAGCTAGATCAGTCCCAGTCCCTACTGGTCCACAGTCTCCTGTGCGACCGACAGCTAGATCAGTCCCGGTCCCCTACTGGTCCACCGTTTCCTGAGCACCTGACAGCTAGATCAGTCCCAGTCCCTACTGGTCCACAGTCTCCTGTGCGACCGACAGCTAGATCAGTCCCGGTCCCTACTGGTCCCACCGTTTCCCTGAGCACCTGACAGCTAGATCAGTCCCAGTCCCTACTGGTCCACCGTCTCCTGAGCGCCCGACAGCTAGATCAGTCCCAGTCCCTACTGGTCCACCGACTCCTGAGCGCCCGACAGCTGGATCAATCCCAGTCCCTACGCTGACGAACTAGGCCGGTCTGACCTCAACGTCCTCCCCCATATCCGAGTCAGTCCCACCTCCACCCCGATATACCACGTCGATCCCACCTCCAGCCAACAGCACTGTGTGATGCCTGTCTCAGCTCCCCAGCCGGCCCACGTCTGCCCGTGTTCTCGGCAGCGCGGCCCGGCCCGGCCGTGCCGCGTCGGTGAGCTGCGGCCGTGAGCAGGGCCGTTGCCAGCGCCGAGGCCGGATGCCGGGCCGCCGGGACCCGCCCCCCGGACACGGCGGTCGGCTAATGACGCCACCCGGCGACCGCCTCGTCAGGCGGCGGCGTTGGCCCCGCCGCTGCGGCCGTCGGCCGACGCACTGGGCCGCGCCTGGCCGACGACCGGCCCAGCGCAGCACCCAGCGTGACATACATCACACACGGCGGAAGGGCCCCCGGGAAATAATGACGTATAAATATCACGGACAAGACAGGGAAACCAGCAAGATGACGATATGGCGCGGGGTGGCGTGAAAATATTCACCCATTTCCACGTTATCAACATGCAATAGATATAAATGAAGTCGTCTACCGGCGGTGGCGAAACCCTCAGCTCAGCTTCTAAAACATCTAGTGTGCTGCGTACTTACTGCTCATAAAATTTCCGCGCGCACGATATGCTTAAAATCCCAGTTCCACTACTTTTGAACGTCATGACACCGATACTTCTGGCAAAACACACAAGGCTCGACTTTTTTCACGGTTACGCAATGCTTAATAGACGGCCGGAGTAAATGTCTACGCTGTGACGCCGTAGTTCTAGTAAAACACTTGTGAATGCAAACTCCCTGAAGGGGAGGGGGGAGGGCGGGCGGGGGGTAAATGATAGGACAAGGATACTTATTAAACAAAAAAGGCTCTCCTTCTGCTTCGAAGGAGCACTGCGAGCCGTGTATCAGCTTCGCAGCTGACACACAGCCCAGTAGTGCCGAGAGGCTGCTACTCTGCGTGACATCCCGGGCCGATGCCAGCTGGGACTCGCATCTGTCGCCCCCTGACCGTGAGCCATGCCCCAGCGGCCTACCTGCAGGGTGACCAGCATCTTTTTGAGCTCCTGCTCCAGCAGTTTGCGGTACTTGTCGCGCTCCACCTCCAACTCGGCCGCCCTGCGCTCGTACTCGGCGGCCTCCTTGACCTCGTCTTCGGTCCAGTCGTCCGGCTCCTTTTCGTCCTGCGGCGGCCGCGACGCCGCCGGGTCACAGCCGGGCTCCGCGCCGCCAGCACACGGGGACCAGGCTCGCCGCTGGCACGGTCCCCCATCTCACTCGACAGACGCGGCGCCCTCTGAACACACTGATGGACACTGTGTGGGCCCAACCATACTCAAGAGACGCGGCGCCATCTGGACACACAGATGGACGCTGTGTGGGCCCACCCCAACCCATTCGACAGACGCGGCGCCATCTGAACGCACAGATGGACGCTGTGGAAATGCGTGGGCCCCACCACATTGGCTCAGTAAACGTGCTGAATAGGTGCTCGCTAAGCGTGATAAGCCATGCAGAGGCGTTAGTTGGTCATCATCGGTTAATCAAATTCCTGTATCATACCTTGCCATAAAGCCTTATCTGTCTGCACTGAACTTACCTGGGTTCGTGCATAAACCAAAGCCACCAGCCGATGTCACTCTCCTTGAGGTGCACCCATCAAAAGGCATGACAAACTTTCACAAGCAAAACACACCTTTCTGGGACTTGTGTCACAATACGTTCCGGTGGCGAAGAGGAGCACAACCGTCGCCGGCGCCGTCGAAAACCTCAACTAGCCGAAGCGGTTCTATGCTTCGCAATTAATCGCCACTTCCTCAAATACTTAGCAGGCCGATAATCGCTGATTATGATGCGTGCGGTGACCGCGCGCCTCGACGACGACTCACCATGAACGCCGGCCGGGGCACGTCCACCTTGAGCGTGTCCTCCCAGCGGACCTCCAGCACGCCGTTCATCATCTGCATGATGGCGCGCTCCCGGAAGTCGTTAGCCCTCGCGCTCGCGGCGGCGTCGCTCCTCCTCGCCGCCTGGGCCTCGAGCCGCTCCCGCTCGGCCGGCGTCAGGTAACCGCTCCACCGTCACCTGACGCACACACGGCGACAGTCACGCATACATGCGACAGGCACGGACTCCCGTCGTCCGCTCCTCCTCGGCGGCCTGGGGCCTCTAGCCGCGCCCGCTCGGCCAGCGTCAGGTACCGCTCCACCGTCACCTGACGCACACCACGCCAACAGTCACGCATATACGCGACAGGTACGACTCCGTCGTCGCTCCTCCTCGGCGGCCTGGGCCTCGAGCCGCGCCCGCTCGGGCCGGCGTCAGGTACCGCTCCACCGTCACCTGATGCGCAACACACGGCAACAGTCACACAAACACGCGACAGGTACGACTCCGTCGTCGCTCCTCCTCGGCGGGCCTGGGCTCGAGCCGCGCCCGCTCGGCCGGCGTCAGGTACCGCTCCACCGTCACCTGACGCACACACAGCAACAGCCACACAAACACGCGACAGGTACGACTCCGTCGTCGCTCCTCCTCGGCGGCCTGGGCCTCGAGCCCGCGCCCGCTCGGGCCGGCGTCAGGTACCGCTCCACCGTCCACCTGACGCACACACGGCAACAGTCACGCATATACGCGACAGGTACGACTCCGTCGTCGTTCCTCCTCGGCAAGCCTGGGCCTCGAGCCGCTTCCGCTCGGGCCGGCGTCAGGTACCGCCTACCACCGTCACCTGACGCGCACACACGGCAACAGTCACACAAACACACACGGCAACAGTCACACCAAGCACCACACGGCAAACAGTCACACAAACACACGCGGTAAGGCACGACTCCGTCGTCGTTCTGCACGTGATCATGCCACGCAGGGCTAGACCTGCTATGCGCGGCGGCAGCTGGCATCGGTAGTCAGCTGGCAGGTGGCGCGCACCTCCCGGCTCGTCAGCTGACGTTTAACACACTGGTGGCTGTCCGCCCAGCCTCTGTGCCACACGCTCCAAGTCCGCCACAGGCCACGCGTCTGACACCACGTCTGCCACACGCCACGTCTGACGCGCGCACGACTGCCGCGGCGGCCGCACGCCACGTCTGCAGCACGCCACATGTCTGACCTCGTCATCCCGCACGTGAGCAGGGTCTCTCGGGCTGTTCGGCGTCCGACCACTGCGGCAGCCAGGGCTGCTCGCTCATGTCCAGCTCCGAGTAGATGTGCTGCAGCCGCTGCGGCCCACGCCGGTGATGCGGTGTACCATTCGCGCCACACACTATAGGACTTGTACGTGCCTCGAACCGGCTTCGTTGAACTTCTCTTGCTGTTGGTAATAACCTCCTGGTCCGGAGAAAGTTCGGTACTTATGGTCACAGAAGGCATAGCGAACGTGACAACGAAAGTGCGGGGCGATGGATAAGGCCTACAACCGAATAGCAATCAAATCGCGTCAGAAGAACAATGAAACTCTTGGACACGCCCAGGACACCAACAGAAATTACTAATGTGGCTAGGCCATGACTTAAGTATCAGACAAACCGTAAACACCAAACATGGTCTGCGTGAGATTGTGGTGAGGCACATATTCCTCCTCGCTGACTGAGAGTGACAGATTGAAACTCATGCTGTTAAGAGGCCCACCAGCCGTTATGAGAACCGACGGAACGCCAGTGTCACCCGCAGCATGTAGATCTGCTCCACGCGTTGCTGCGAGTGGTGATGTCGAACTGCGAGAGCGAGCCAGGGGTTGTTGACGGCCCAGCTGGTGACTGAGGCTAACCCGTGGTGGGTCGTCTCCTGCTGCTCCTCATCTTCGTCCCTCGTTCTCGTCCTCGTCCTCGTTCTCCGGCTCGTCCTCGGCGACCGGCGTCACCTGGTCGACATCCACCGACGCGGTCGACTGCCTGCCAGATGGGCGGGGGGCACTGACTTCAGGAACAGGTCACTCTTACTCGCCCGCCGTCAGCGAACACGACCGGCACGGGGGCGCGCTCATCCCGCGCGCGCACAGCGACTAGCGCTGCTCATCCAACCGCCGTGCTGGGCGCCGGCCGAACGGTCCGCTGCGGTTGGGACAACGGACAGAGATAAACAGCCCCCACTGACAGAGGACATTCGATGCGGCAAGAGTCGACGAGGGAGATACACTGGCCGAGACATTAGCTAATTCCTCCAGTGGCGCACTGTGAGCACAGAGCAATTCGTCAGCGCAGAAGACGTCGGCGACAACGCACGGCCTGATGTGATCAGCCGGCTCCTTCAGAGGCGGCGGCGAATCTCTCGGTGCACCGGCCTGTCCAGCTCCAGCCAGACCTGAGCGTGAGCGGCCCGCTCGGCGGCGACCGCTGCGTGCCGGGCCACCCAGCTGGAAGGCACCGGCGCGTTCCTTCAGATGGTACGCTCACCGTACGTACACGCGGCTCATGCTAACGAAACGGCGGCCACCTGCACCGGTCAAGTGTACGCTCTGATAACCGCCGTTCGCGGAAGCGTGAAAGCTCACAGCAATACCCGGCCACGTGATAACGAGAAGCACCAGTTCATGAGGACATCCTTCGGTATTACTTCCGTTTATTTGGGTCAAACATGGGGGAGGGGAGGTGACAAACATTAAGACGGCCAGGACCTCTCCAGGTAAACAAAGCTCCACCTGTGGTGGTGACTACGACTGAAAAGTGGCGTTTTGTGGCGTTTCACGACTGAAAAGTGGCAAAAGTGGCAAAGGCACGTTTCGCCATATGATGGTCGATTACAACAGCAAGTGGACGGAAATGGCTCAGACGTCGCACGTAGAGTCCTTCCAGATCATCAAGTTCGTTAGCGACGCGTAGGCTCGCGATAAATACTCCAAAGAGACCATCTCCGACAACGAGCGATAGGTTGTCAGTGAATAACTTGAAATAACCGCAACCGAGGAAAGTAACGGACACCCTAGTATTGTCCCCAAGGAGTCTCATGTCCGAGAAGGGTACGAGTTAAGGCTTTAAGGTTAGTTAAACGTAAAGTATTCAATTTAACATAATAAGTTTCTAGTAAGGCGTTAAAAGTCCCGCACATTTTGCTTTTGTCAGTAGCACGTTCTTAAATGTGATGGAAAAAACAACCACGGAGCATTCTTCGGACTTGGGTCCGTATTGTGCTTCGATTAATCCTAATTAATTTTCCATCGCTCTCCAACAATTATAAATCAAACTGCGACAATTTTCGAGCAATGTTCATTTATATCATCAGTTTACATTAATTTGTTCCCTGCGCGTTGAAAATTGGTGACAGAAGTAACAGTAACGGTAACAAAAATACGACTTCGGAGTTTCTGTTATCGAGTGTATAATGCACTGCATTGTAGGCACGACAAAATGCAGACACAGACATGCTGGGCTTCAATCCCGAAGCAGTCACCGGTCGTTTCAAACCGTCACATCGCGATGCGGCAAGTCCCGAATTGCCGAATGCAGACTGACGTCATCTTTCGACTTGAGGACGTTATGAAACAGTCATAGCGTGATCCAGCGATTTCCGAAGTGTTATAAGGTGATGTAGATCTTTTGCAGGTGTGGTCGGCTGTCAAGCGATCGCATCACCGTGTGGCAAGTCGCGGCTCCGCCAGCAGCCACTGGACCACGCAGCCGGCACGCTGTCAGTAGTAACATCGCCAGCGGCCATGGTCACCAGCGGCCAGGTAACATTGAAGTCCAGTCGCGTGATTTCAGTCTGTGTGAAATCGTCAACATTGAAATCCAGTCGCGTCTGAGCTTAAACCTTGAATTAGAAAACGCCATTAGTGTCTGCGCGACTTTGATCATTACTCGCGAAGATCACGATTCACCGACAAAGTAAGGCTCATTTCCGTCATGTCCTTTGCATTAGGCAGAATGAGTAGCAAGACAGTCGTGCAAGGAACCATTACCTGTAGGAAAATTCTGCTAAGCGCATCGGGTCTTGAGGATGGCGAGGAAATGACCTTGGCGCGATACAGTAAAACACGATTTGTCACGCTGCAATGCAACTGGAAGCCTGCCACGCCACGAAATGAGATCTACATTAGAATGCAGAATTCCGTAAACTGACGGAGCACGATGTACCTGTTTTAAAATGGTCACAAACCAGAGCACAGCACACCGGAGTTTGGCAATCAGGGGCACGTCTCACTGCAACGAGGCCATTTTGATCAAAGGAACCATTTTCGAGATTGGAGTCTAACAAATACACTAACTTACTTGTAATGCGAGTCAATGCGATTCTCATTTAAACTCCAATGTAACTTTTTGATGTCACCAGTAAGTTTTAACAATCATCGCGCCTGCGACACACCCAACTACCTCCATCACATTTCAGCCCGTATGAAACAGACTCAGAACACTCGACTGAGTATTGATAATACAAATATTGCAAATGTCAGCTCTATAACGTCGTTTAACCGGTACCCATGATATGGAAGGTCGATACCTCAGCATAAGAGCTCTGACTTTTAAAATGTGATCGTTTTGGTAATTATGTGTGCTAACCTTTCCGCCAGATGTTTGCACGAAAGTTGCATTTTCTATCTGTTTGTCTGGCGCGGCGTATGACATGGGTTTTCCGTGACATAGAGCCCCGATTACAAACATCGTTAGACGTGGCACGACAAAAATCACTTAGAGCATTTCATTGTGCATAGATTTCATCTTTGACTATTGCAAGGTTTCAAAATTTGAACACAAGCCCAAAATGCACTGTTCCAGTTCTGGACATTTTACACGCCAAGGCCCGCCAAGTCTGGCCTGCAAGGTTCTGTGGCTTATTGCCGTGTCACATGTGGCAGGATGACCGTTAGGAAGTTGCGTCTCTAGTTACAATAGCTTTGCGAGGCAAAAAGCATCCGTCTGGCACTAATATTTCCACAGAACGCATCGATTCTCATGAACTAATAACAAACTGCATTTTGTAACGTGAGAGCACTTAAACTTGAACATTTTGCTGGTGAAATAACCATGTCATTTACCA